TCTACCACATCGGAAACACATTGAAGGATAAACAGTTTTTAAGAAAATTCAAATCCAACTCAGCTTTGCTTACTTCGATAGAAGTATTCTCAAAACTTCGCATATTTACAAGCACCTGCAATCATCAAGGGCCTGTCTTGACTCTTGTGATACTGAATGTTTCACGATCTTAGATTCTGCCGCTTCAAAATACCAAATTAAGATCAAAGAGGCATTGCATATTAAGTGGGAAAAACCCATCCTTAATCAGCAATTGAAACACCTAGAATTGTCTCTTTCCTTTTAATTATGTTGTTCCTTGGTCTTTTAATTTATTTTTATAATTATTATATTTATTTATTTATTTTTTTGATCAGTCAAGCGCGCGCTGTTTACATTTTTTCGCGTTTTTACATTCAAATGTAACGTAAGCCCTGACACGTATTTTGTAACGTACCTTAATTTAAATTCAAATGCACAACAGTTAAATGCTCATTTGCAACTGAAGATGACATGACAATGTCCTTACATGTCTTGGAAATTTAAATTGAAAGTTGTTGTTTCTTTTTTGAGAGTTATTGTCACTCTGCTGTCTTTACGTCCTTTTGGTAAAATAACGAAATCAAAACAAGATTCTTTGACAGCTGATTAGCTGCGCAATCAGGGTCTGATACAGAAACTCAGGGGCTGGATAGCTGCATGTCGAACAAATGTAAACGGCCTCTCGACTACTTTTACTCCAGGCCTGATTGCATGGGATCCTGGGGCTCATTCCCTACAGAGAAGCAAGCAAACATTAACTATAATGGACGTATTTTGTAGGATAGATTGGTGAAAGAATATTGCCGTAGTGAAGCTAGTGCTCTTTTCCCACCGTTGTAGCCGGGATTGGATTCCTTAACGCTATATCACCTAGTTTGTTGTTGGTTATTGGTCTCCTTGCGACGGTTTTTCTCCACGCTCTTAATATTTCCTCTCGGTTTTCCTGCCTCCACAAAACTCAACATTCTTATTTGAGCTGAAGAATAGAGGACGCGAAGAGCCATCCAGTGCAAATGTACTGCTTAAGTCCAATTTACTTTTTGCTTTGACTTTCATTGAATTTATAACTCATACACCAAGATGCCAAGTATAGACAAACTTACCAAGTTTCAGCTCAGGAAAGAGGAAAATTTTGGATGCATAGCCATACACATATCCAGTTTTTACTCTTGCAATGTAACCGTTCATGAGAGACATCTCCCATGGAGACCCAATGAAGTGCTTGCCATCCAGGATAAACACTGCAAGGAAAATACCTCAAAATAACGCATTTCGTGGTGAGATATAAGTGACACTATATGTCTTTAAACTCCCAGTTCCGGCAGCAAAACCTCTTAGAATTTGGAACTAATAATAATAAAAGAAAAAAACCATCAAAACAGAAATAAGATAAAAACAAGTTAAAGAGCTCCTCACCGGGTGAGAAAAATTCTTCGGTCAGGACAGGAGATAGAAAGTCGTCCTCCTCCGTGGAATTGAAAAGCTTAATCTCCAACTGGAGACAAAAAAACAAAAAAAAATAATCACATGGTTCATGTTAAATGAGTCAATGTCCATGCGAATAGTAAGAGAGAGAGGGCATCAAAGGTAAGAGAAAGGGCTCACTGGCAGAGAAAAAGGCCGAGAGGGTAATCATGGGAATTACAAATATAGAAGTAAAGGTGTAGATGGTCCAAATTTTTTTGAAATATAAAGAAAACTCCCTTTGTAGCTACTGGAACAGGTTGCTGTTTCAAGGAAGACAATCTTTTTTGATACGAAGTTACTTATATGAATGGAAATCAAGCACCAAATTGTGCAAAAACTGGAAAAAATACGAGCAGCATGGAAGCTTGCATTCCCCACTAAACGCCGTTTTGGATCGTATGACATCATACGTTTCACCATCATCATCAAGCAAAAGCTTAGGGGTTCGTAGGAGTCATGAAATCACGCAAATAATAGAGGTCACCTTGAAACCGCCCCACACAACCTGGTCGCTGGCTAGAAATTTCAGTTCACGCGAAACTCTCTACATGCGATCTATGTCGACGAATTTTAACCTTAAAGATACTTTTAGTAATTTGACGACAATGTCTTTCAACCTTTCACACTACCTTCGCGATATCCTCCAGTGACGTAAACATTCCACCGGCTGGATTGGCCCATCCCCACTCAAATGGCTGCTGAGAATAATTCCCAAGAAAACCCACGGGAATTCTTTGCTTCCAACTGTCAATGGAGTGATCAACACATAATTTTCCCTTACAATTTCGAAACAAAGTCAAGCTAAGGGGTTTGAGAACACAGCATCAATGCATGACACCTACTCTCTAGTGCGGAAAACTAAAGTGAGCAAGCCAGTTCAGAGGATAACACAACTTTTCAGAACCAGTCCACAACAAAGAAGCAAGACCAGCTAAAGGAGACTAATTAAATGCAATCCTGGACTACTCTTCTACTCTCTTAATTCATTTCTTGATCTCTTTCTTTTATGAATTATTTAAGGAAAATGTTACCACTCACTTGGGAGTTAGCTTGAATCCCGAATCATGCATGTCTAGTGGATCAAAAACACTTTTCTGCATCCATTCCTCGTACGAGACGTTCTGTGAAAGAGCCAGTCCTTGACCAAGCAGACCAAACCCTAAATTACTATAAGATAAGGCAGTGTTACCCCTTAATAAATTTTCCAGTCATTTGTGAACAATATTCAAAACGAAGAGGATGGAAAGAGTGATGAGAAGACTAACATACCTGTAGCTGACTTTATTGCCTGGTTCAGTAACGAGAGTTAGATTCTTTATTCGGTCCAACATAACAGTGTTATTGTCGGGACAAAGGTTCTCTTTCATTTCTTTAAGACATGGAGCCTCTCGTGGAATACCAGACATGTGCGAAACCATTTCTCTGAAAAACGAAGTAGTTCAACCTATCTGACAATTGTCCTCATTTACAATAGAATTCAATCGGACCTGGATTGGGTGGTGTCCTCACAGAGTATTCCGAGTCCCATAATTGTAAAAATGACATTAGAAATAACTCTAAAACATTTAAAAAAAAAGGAGAATTTTACCCATTGAAGTGTTCTCAAAATATTTCTGACAGCAGGGGACTCATTTTTAGTCTTGCTATTCAGGAATGAGTTTATTCGCAAAACTAGATGTTGACTAAGTCTCAGTGCATCAATGAGCCAGTCAGTCAATGGTCGGCCAGCACCAATTGTAGCATCCCTGCACCGATATATAGTTTCACTATCTAACCATCTGTCTTCCTAACTGTGTTTGTACTTGTCCGTCAGTCTGGTTTTCTGTCTGTTTGCTTGTGTAAGTTCAAGGCATTGAGATCTTTCATTAAGTAAAATTAAAAATTATTTTACCTGAGTACGATTTCATGAGAGTTAAATGGATCCTTGATTGAGAACTCTGGCATATATTTCTTGAAAGGATCATCTAGTGACTTTACCTTCTTCTCGTAGTAGAGCTTGTAAAGCATTAAGGCCTAAACAACCATAACCAAAATGAAAAATCACTGTTATCAGTAATATATCAAGGAGATGATTCTTACACGTAGATTTCTTTTTGTCTTAGAAGAAGAGTGTTTGTTTCGGAGGAAGGAAATTAGGCGAAAGTTCAAAAGGAAAATCTACAAGCAGCGCCGAGATCAAGCATCGCTCGATCATTTGGGACTAGCTTTTAGTAACGAAGTTGGATATAAAAACAAATATCGCGGCAAATTTAGGAAATGATAGTTTGTCACATGGTCCGTATATCATGCATCGGTGTTTCAAGTCTAATACCCGAGTAAAACAGACAACTTACCGTTAAGACCTTAGTGACACTTGCCACGGGGAACACTGTTCTGCTGGACAGTTTTTGAGATGAAGGATTTGATCTATTCATCTTGCCATACCAACGCTCCCAGATTACTTTGTTCATGTAGACAACGTTAGCCATGATGGCTATCTAGAAGAGAAATCACGATAAGACAGCTATTCAATTGTGCTCAGGGATCGTATCTCGAAAGTCCTGGTAACTTAACGAGCTCAAAATTTAAATATTTTGTCAGAGAAGTAGATTCTGGGACTCTCACTAATCTATTTTGTTTCTTTAGCCTATAATTTTATTGCATGATTTTAAAAAATTTTAAAACCGACATCTTGAAGGAAATTTTAACCAACTATTGAACCTAGTTAAAACTTTTAATTCCGTTTCCTTTACCTCAAAGTTAATGGTAGTAAACATGGCTTAATGATAACAATATAACCAACCTCCGTGACCTCCCCAACGTCACAGAGCCTCTGCATGGCCAATCAGTACTCTTTCTTGAGTCTTGCTGATTGGAGATGCTTACATTTGACAAAGTGGGTTGTCTCGCTGAAATCTCTGTTCCTATAAACTGACCCTACCATACAGGGCCGTTTGGTCCTGTTTTACTCCCTGAAGTAATTCCTAAATTACCAGGTTATGTCTTACCTTATCATCCTTAGCGTTAGCCTCCTTCAGTCCACGCTCAATTTCTAGTAACGCCTCTTCAATGCTAATAGGCAAAGGTTCCAGCGGAACTGCTTCTGCTCTTACGGGGCATACGCTTCTCGTTCCAACAATTGGTTTCTAAGTAGGAAGGCATCATTACCTTATATTATTGGACTTGTATTTCCATTTTTTTTTTTTTTTTTCTATTGCATGGAAACGCACCTAGCCCCGTTTACTTCGCTGTGGTGTAAATTTTTCTAAACTACTTAAAAATGAAGCTTGTAAGGTTTTAATAACCTATACCTCAGTTCCTTGAGCAGCAGCAAAGAGTCGGGAACTTGATATCTGCAAACTCTGTTTCCGCATGATTTTAATGAGAAAAGCCCGAAATATTCTACTCATAATCTCATGATAATGCACTCATTATATATCTTGATAAACACAACAAACGGTAACAAGAAGTTACATTCAAAGCTTGCAGCTGCATTGCGAATGAAAACTTAGCTGATCCATCAAGGCCGAGCGAGACCAACCAATCACAACTCTTGTTTTAGTTAGCCGACAAATTGTTCAAATCCTAGTTTCTATTGGGTTTTGGACATGAACCACAAGCGAGCGTCACAGAATCTTTGGTGCAGTACGTGAGCTGTCAAAATTGAGCTGCCAAGTAATCAGACGTTTTATCAGTTGTTATCAGCTTGTTTCGACTTCAATATCACACCATTCAAGGTCATCTATAAACTGCAGCGTTTTGGGTCTTACACGTCAAATTATATTTCTAACTGCTACTTCAATAAAATTGTTTTTCATCACCGAGATAAAAGGTATGTGTATGAACTCTTATGTAAAAAAAATCCAAGAAATTGTATTTTAATTTCTTTCATCGTCATTATTATTACGCTATGATGTCTCTTGCTCAATTGGAGATTTCCTCGTCAACCTGGCGGCCACGATAATGAGTAAGTTTGGATGGAACCGTACCGATTTCAGCACTCGACCTACACTTATTCCTTGCAAAAGATCGCGAAATCTGATCACATTTAGATCGTGGTCAGTAATTCGTTTACGAATTCAAGTTTCGAATGTTCCGGAGGAAATCGTTTGCGCACTTGGTTTGAAAGGGGTTCATTACACGACAGGTGTCAATCGCTTTTCACTTGAACTTTATTGGTTTCTTAGCAGGCTATCACAAAACAAACTTTAGAATTTAATTTCGGTGACGTTTGTCGCATACCGGTATGACTTCTGGCCAATATTGTTCGATATGTCCTCAAGTCTTGTTTGTACAGAACATGCATTTAATCTCAACCGAAGACATTCTTTTTATTGATGTTTATTTCTAATCAAACAGCAATTTAACGGGTAATCTAGTTTGGAAAATAATGAAATTATTCGCATCAATTACCTTAAATGGTGTGGATTGTGCTGCAAATTAAAAAAAAAAGGCTGAAAAGAAAATCTTTAGATTTAGGTTATTGTTTTGTTCTAAAATGCTAAAATAAAGCGATTGACTATAAAGCCTGTCCATCGTAAAAGAAAGACTTGTGCTGAAAACTCGGGTCCATTACCGAAGGTAAAGTTTACAATCATCGCTTCCTTTGAAGTTCTAAATAGGCAAAATTTAAAGAAGCAGTCTGCTTTCGAAATTCTATTCTTGCTGACGGTCTGACAGTATTGAGTGATTTACAGTACATTTCATTGATTTAAAGTCTTCGATTAAATATGTAATACAATTTTCCTTGCATAATATTTAGCAATGAATCTACATCCGCCAAGAGAGAGCCATTTCAATGCCCTGACAATCAACTCTTTGAAAATTATCGCCGATTATGTAGTAATTGCAAATTGTGCAAAACAAACGGTCCATGCACACATTTTAAACGCAATTTAAGTAATATCAACACTAAAAACAGTGCTAGCACGTTAGGTGTATTTTCATGGAGAAGGTTCGCTCATTTTGAGCCGGTTTTGAAGCTGAAATTGCATCTAAAGTGTAAACATATTGTTTTGAAAGGAATGTTTTCCTATGAATGCAGCTGGTTGAATCTTGACAACCGTAGCGGAAAGTGTGCGTGTTATTTCAAAACAGGATACGACACATTTATCGCTTGTCAGCGCCATAGCATTGCTCTGGTCTTCAACGATGTGATTATACGATAAAGATGAGCTTTTGCAATAACCTAGAAAACGAACTTTTATTTAGCCAGATATAAAGAAATATAGTTCAGGGAAACTTGAAATAGAGGAGAGAGAGATACTGGGTATTTATTTTGGGTGTGTCTTGATGGAAATGTGATCTTGTCTTTGTAATATGTGTTGTTCATTCTAATTCTCGGAATATTTGGTTCCCACCTGCTATTCCACAATTAAAGAAAGAAAACTTGCCTGTACATTAAAATCCACCCACACAGCCTGTTGCAGTTTTTGGTAAATTATTAGAGTTAATCCCCCATCATTTATTTGCAGATCATAGTCCACAAGACTAAGAGATATGTCGCGCGAGGTTGGCAGAGAATATGCGGAAAAGTTTAAGCAAATAGACGAACAGAGAAATCACGTATTCGATCATTCAGGGGACATCACTTAAAACTGTATGTCGTAAAAAGGTGCAAAGTGCATGCATTTACCGGTGAGAGAAGATGATTGAAACATCTTATTACATTTGTCTGCATCAAAAAACTAATTTTTCATTTCTTCAAAACGTAACAGTAAGTCTAACTCATTGGCGGGGTAATTTGCTGATTTGGTGTTTGGCGGCGAACTTACGCATTTAAGATTTCAAATTTAGGATAAAAATTAAAGTTTGGAGTCGATGAGGTGCCATAGAATCGTACCTGTTCGATATGAGACTTTCCATCGGCTTTTTCCTCAGGTTTGTAATAGAACATTCTCCAGACGAATAATGCAGTCATTACCATCGACACGATGATGAAGACCGCAAGAAACAGCGTCAGCTGGCGTATTCGTTTTGAGTAAGCTCGGGGGCCCATTTTGGCCTTGCTGTGGTGATCTGGCAAGAAGCCGATGGTGCTGGCACTGTTTGGCAGCGCACCCAAGAAGCTGTCTCTACCGGAAACTTTAGCGTCGTAAACACTAAATGACATCTGCGACTCAACGCCTGGGGATTGGGCCGATTCCGGTTCCAATTTTCCCAGTCGGTTGTCCGTGTTCATGTTGGGGTCTGGGTGTAACTGTAGTCGAGTCATTTGAACTGTTCGTTTTTGTTCGTCTGACGCCTTTGAAATAAAGGAATGATGATATGGATATGGATGATGATTCTATTCAATTTTCAGATAACAAAAACAAGAGTAATCAATTACCGATAAGAGACAGGTCACGATTTATAGCCGGGGGGAGGAGAGAGTGGGGGGAATTTGCTTGTGTCATAATAAAATATACCTGATCCCCTCCCTGAGACTTCCCACTCAGCGGAAGAATTGCGGGGACACTGAATGCAATACAATACAAATGCAATGGGATCAGGCTCTCAACACTCAATTTGAAAATGCTTCATAAATTAAACAGTGACATCAATTATGCTCGCGTGGGAGCAGCCAGCCATTCATTTTGCACTCAACACAGATTACACGTTGGTGTAAACTTAGCCATTTCTCAGTTGTTGCACACTCACAAATACCACGCCCAGAGATTTGCGGTATATACTTTTAAGTAGAGAAACTATATAAGCTGAAAGAAAACTTGTTATATTTTTCACGTAACGTATGTTTACTGCGATAAGTTCTTTGATATCAAGAAGAAAATCAGATCTTCTCAGTTGTCTCGAGTTTATTAAGATCGGAGACTACACGTTGAAGCTATTATATAACATAGTTTTGCGCCTGTTATATGAGTTACCATGATAAAAAAAATATATCGATTAAACTCGGACTGTTCAGCACGCAAACGACAGATAATGTCTTTTTTTCATCCTTCTCATTTAGATAAACTCCTTCTTTACGACTATCATGAAGAAATTTATCACAGTTCTTGGCCATTCAGTCGTATAGTTACGTAACGTGAAATAGATATAACTTGGTGTGAAAAATTAGTTTTGGATCCTTGACAAGCTAACATAAGATTATGTTATTTTCAAGGCAAACAAGCGAATGTCAGTGTCAACTGTAGAAAACCTTGTTATCCCACTACTGCCGTTGTTGGTGTAATGTGGAGATACGATGCTGGCTTAGAAATTAGCTACACTTTCACGTCAGAAAATAGCTGACGGTGGGAGAATTAAGAACGTTTAACAAAGTGCTCGCAAGTAATTCTATAATAACACGTCTCAATGGAGGTTTCATGTCATTGCGCTGGTCTTTGTTCACGGCGCTTTTAGATCTTTTAGAACGAGTGCTGAAAGGGCTAAAAGAAATTCTGTGTAGTCTGTTTGTTCCCTGCAAATAATTCGTCAATGTTTTGAAACGAATGCGCACCACCCCCCCCCCTCTCGAACTGCAAAAACGATTTCTTCTTAGTCGTTCCTCGTGTAAAACAAAATCGATCAATTTCTCTGTCTTCGCTTCGTTTTGCTTTCCATAGTTTAAAAATTTACGCAACCAAGCTTGCATGGTAATCCATGCACTGATAGACTTTTTTCCTTAAGGAAGTGATACCACAAATATTTTTGTTGTTTTTGTTTTTGAGTTTAAAACTAGCCTCAGGAACTATGTCGGCTTTGCCTGTGAAATTTTAGACTTAAATTAATGAACTGTTGCGTGTTATGTCAATTTATCGGGAAGCTATAATACCAACTCGAAGAAAATTCTTTGTATGTACTATTATTAATGATAGACTATATAGCAAGTCAGTCAACAGAAAGAAATATAAATTTTTCTTCGTAAGGGCACAAATTTTTGTCAAAGTTTAGTATTTGAAGGTAATAATCGCCGTCTGTAGATAGTGTATCCGCGACAAGGGCTGGCGAAGAAAAGTTACAATATTGCATACTGTCGACCACACAGAAATATGTAACGCATAAAAACGAAAACTGTAAATGTGCTCTATTTTACCTCGTTATTCCTGAGTTCGCTCGGTCCAGAAGGTTCTGAAGAGATCGTGAAACTTTTTTGGGAAAAAATTATCCTTATTTTTGAGTGTTGACTTGTGCGTAAGGACCGTGATAGACTATGAAAACTTGGTAGATAAAACAGACAAAATAGCCTTTCAATTAGTTTTATTAATTACCTAAGTGCACGATAAATTAATAGATGGCTGAAACTGAGTTGATTTCAAGTGTAAAGGTTCGATCAATCGATACTGCAGGGAGAGACACAATTTTACACGGCCGGTGTACACCGGCAAAATATCTGTGCCACAAAGAAATCGACGACAATTCAGTGTCAAGGGTTGTTAGTACTCCAGTGAAGTTGAGCCGTTGTTAATTACAGTTATAGTTGACTAGTGGAAAGCCCTTGTATTATTAAAAAGTTAGCACAATTAATTTTTAATTCGTCGAAAGAGTTTTGACGATAAAAATGAACGGTAAAACACGACGTTTCGACCGTGCTTCGGTCATTGTCAAGTGAATGGAATGAAATACAGTAAATATATGTATATATACACGTACGAAATATAAAAAAATTTTGCAGGTGTAAACAAACAATAAAACTACAAAGAAAGTGCTAGTAAGAAGCTAATTAAAAACCTTAGCTCGAATTGAATCAGACTGTACATTGAGAGTTATCAGAGAAAGAGTTATCAGAGAAATTGTTTTATTTCTGTAGATGTGAATCAACAAATTACGTTGGTAGAGCGATTTCAATGATGATATGCATTGTCGACTCACTGAAATTTCCCTTTCTCACCGTTTTCCATGATGAGAAGTAGTTAATCGACTTCTTTCATAAACATGTAGCAAATCAGCTAACGTGCATTTTGAACAGCGCTATGTAAACATGGCGTCAGGATCTGTGCTTTCACTGTTCTTGGTCGTCAAGATTTCCACAGTTGGACTCAAAGAACAGTCTAAAGTTCAACAGCAAGAGCTAGTTCGCGTATTTCCTCGACGCATTTTCAAGCTTATGACAGGGAAAATGGCAAAATAACTTGGAAAGCGCAGGAAAGCCTAATCTGGTAAAATCAAACTTAGGTTTATCCCGGCAAAGCGGTGCAGACTGTAAAACCAGTTGTATTTGCACATACCTTTGGAGAGAAGCCGTTTTCTTCTCTTTTTTGGGAAACAAAATGCCCGTTTCTTCCAGGTGAGTCTCGAACAAGAGACATTACTCAGCGAATAGGCGACTGAGCTCGCAAAAACGTTCTCAGGCCAGGATTGAGGGATTCTGTTTGCTGAATGGACTCCCTGAGGATAGAATAACGTCGGAATACTGATGCTAAATTACAGAAATATCTGCTTAAATCCTACGCACCGACTTAATTACTTCATCATGTCACTAAATGGCTTTACTTATCAATCGACATTACAATTACTGTACACAACCATATCAAATGCTCCTCAAATATTTCCTTTTCTCTCAGTGATAGCTTTGTTATTCACTTCTTATGGAATGAAAAAAAACGTTGGCTGCGACTTTTAGACTGCTCCTACCGTAGATTCTCTTCGTAAGAGTTTGCATTTATGTTTTCGCTGTCAAGATTTATCCCAGGCAATCATGGGTATGGCTGTGATTAGATTGATAATCTAGAAACACAACCTTTGTACATAAAACGCTGGGATCTGATCCCACTCTCATTTCGGTTTTATACAGAGCAGAGACTCGTCATATCACATCTCACTTTGGTGTGACACAGCTCGTGGTTAGAGATCAGAGTCCATGCAAACCTTAAGTAAACAAAAGCATCTGTAGCTATTTGACAATTAAAAGAAAAGCCTTTTTGTTTTTAGATACCGGCGATTGAACGAGAGCGAAGTTAGAACGTGCGCACGAGCCAGGACAGGAAGTGGCCTAGAAGCTGTCACAACACGCGTCTTTCGAAACATCTTTCATGAGGATGTGACAAAAGAACAGAGATTCGCAATTTTGGAATAAAAAATTTACTGTAACCCTTTTTTTTTTAGGAGATTAAGATCATAGAGATAATGGCAAGCACTACCGAAGGTGGATGCAGTTAGTTCCCTGATACTACTGCCGTGCCAGGGATCTTTGGAGTCGATAAAAGGGGCATAATTGATATTGAAGGTACAGTTAGCACCCAAGATTAATGGGTTTTGCAGAAGATTAATCCGGGTTTTGCAGAAGTCAAACTTTAACTACTCTATAGCCTATACAGGTCCTTACTGAGCAAGGTTTGAGGTTATATTACCAACAACAACCGAACGGCTATGGATATCACCGATTAAGTTTCTAACAAGGTTAAATTCTCTTGGTTTCTAATTAAGTGGCTATTAAACGGTGAAAAAAAATTAATTTAACACGCAAAAGCAAACAAGACCTAAAAACCAAGAAAAGAAAAACAGTTACAAGCGGAAGACGTCACTTAACATCTGGTAATGCGCGCGCATTGTCATTCATTCATCTTTCCAAACCCACTGTCAAACTGCATAACTCAAACCAGCGAACCTACGATTCGTTCGTCGAGAAAATTATGTTATTTTCGGAAAAATAACATTTCTACAGTTGTAGAAAATATTCCAATATGGTTGTATTACAACAAGCGAGGGAAATTTCGTCGAATTCCTCAGTCAAGAATAGAAGTCAATACATTCACTGGAAAGGTGCTTCAAACGTGACCAAACTTTCTGGTTATAGAAAGTACAAATACTACGAAGTGCATCATTCAGAATATTTCAGTTTTCGTCATCTTTGCCGGCCCGTTGAAGATTTACAACTTACAATCAGATAGTTTGCTGTCAGCAGAATGTTGTCGGGGATCTGCATTCGCTGTTCCTCAACTAACTTGTGTCATGGTAAAGGAATTCATCAATGTGAATTGCTGCTCTGATGTAACTCCGACGAAGTGTTATTATTTCGGTAATACGTATGAGTTCAAGGAATATTTAGTTCTTATTAACCGAGCGGGAGGTCTGTATGGGAGAATCTTGACCGAGGTCGCCAGTACAGACCGAATGCAGTGAGGTTTGTACCAGCGACCGAGGTCAACTTGGATTCTCCCATACAGACCGACCTAGCTCGGTTAATAAGATGTTTATTATATGGCTGTGTCTTATATGCCAATGTTTTATATTTTTTGTACCTTTTCTTTCTAGACCGGTCTAGATGCCGGTCTAGATGGGGAAAATCTAGACCGCATTCAATATTGATTTCAGCCAATCAAATTCGTGAATTCGGTAGTTCCCAGTCCTCGTGAGACAGCCATATAATAAGACGAGTTCTTAACTTTCTGCGGTGTTTTACTGAAGAAGTATGATGGTTTTCCCTCTCTTCACGGGTGATTCAGAAGACTTTGTAGGACCTGCAAAACTCATTTTGTACATTCTTCCCTTCTTCGCCGCGTTGGTTGGCAGGTTGACGTCCGGCAAATGAATGAATTAACTCAACGAAAGTAATTGAAATTACAAAATGATGAATTAGGATCGGCCATGTACACCCCTTTTTTCGGATTCCCTATAGCGTTCTCATCGCCACTGGACTTGAATTTTAGTGGAAATCATTTATAAAACTGGGCCCTCATATTTATTGGCGAAATATGAAGTTCAAATATTGTCATGTCGCTCAAACTTTAATCGTTGAGTTTTTGTGTTTTTTCTTCGATAATGGTTTCTATTTGTTCATGGTTTATCTTTCAGTTGGTTCTTTCCGACACATCTGAGATCTATATTCCAAGCCTTATTTAACAACTTATCTTGGCCTTCGGCAATTTCCCGCGCTAAATTTCTCATCCCCTTGAGGGTAAGGTTCGTGATTTATTACTTCCATTTTGAAATCACTGGTGGTCCCTGTAATCTGATTGGCTCGAATTAGTGCAATTTATTCACAAATCGCACCAGTTTTTGCTCTAAATTGCATCATTTTATGCTTGTGACTGAGTTTATGACACATGACGTCAAAGTCTTTCTGTTTTGCATACAAAATAAGATGTAAAAGCGTTTCCAGTTCCGCTTTTTATTTAAAAACTGGCTCAGTACTGCATCAATAAAATATTTGAATTGACCAAGTCCTGTATTTGGGCGATTTCAAAATGGATGAAATAAATTGGTAATTGAACCTCGTGTCGTGCAATTTGGTCTGAAATCATACTCGTGATTTCAAATCGAACTTGTGCTGCGCGCTCGTTCGATTTTGAAATCACGCGCGTATGATTTCAGCCCAAATTGCACTCTTCTCAGTTCAATTACCATTATAAATTGGTTATTCCAACTTCACTTTTCCAAAGTCTTAAATTTTTATTTATAGCATTCATGTATACTTTTCTCTATTGCGCATTTAAGAAATTATCAATCATTCCATGATGAAACTTCAGTCAAATGCTCGAAAGCTATTGCATTTGTAGCTTATCGATGCTTATTGTTCACTTAATATAACAAATCAACAGCCTTGTTCTTTTTATGTGGTAAAGTTTTAGCGACATATATTTAGTTTTTCCATAAAATGAACAGTCATATTAGAATGGTCATAATTTGCAAATGAATTACTATCCCTATGTTTTAGCATATTCTATAGTTTTGTCGTCTTTCCTGTCCATTGATTCTCACCGAGCAGACTTAACTTGATTATCCTGTGAAATACAAAACACATATAGTGTATTAGATGTTGATTGTGCTTGAAATCACGAAAGATCGACTTACCCTTGATACCCTCAGCATCAATATGCATATTATTTACTAATACATTTCCTCACGGGTTGACAAGGAGAATTTGCTCAACAACTATGGGCCGGTTATTTACACAAGATCCAACCTTAACCAAGGTTTTACGCAATCAGTGGGCCTAAGGCTTTCTCTATAAGAGGGTTGACTTAATTAAAAAAAATGCCTTTCCGTTGTTAGTTTTCAGCTCTCTTGACGCTATTCACAAAAATAAATGTTTAGATAAAAGCTTCAGCTAAATTAAAGGATTGTTTTGGACGTGGTTTTGTTAAACAACACTACGCCTTGTTTAAATAATCAGACCGTAAGAGTTTCTTTAGTTGATTATCATTTCCTTCATTCTTGTCATCTTAGTGCTTGATTCAGGGGTGATATTGTAAGGAGATATTAGATGCTAGCGATTCTTAGGGGTCAAAAAGTTAGAAAAAAAATTAACGGTTGAGTGTTGAGAGAATCTCTTTAAGATGTTTTTCTATGTCAAGAGAAGATAGATTGCAGTTTGTCTCCTCATGTATACATCACAACAGACAACGTCCAAACCAGGGTTAAACAAGAAGGAGTCATCATCCCTTAAGTTGAGAAATCAGTGACACACATGCTTGCTCCTCGAATGTCGCTGATTTTTGTTCAAACAGCATTACATACACGCCCACACAGAAAAGACGTTGCTTCCACTCACCAAGTATCTCTTCAAATAAAAACAATCTCTGATATCTCTGTTACATTCGGTGAATCCCATGCTGTCGGTTCAGTCCTTGTATCTTCTGTCAGCGACCATGCATATCTTTTCCCATTGGTCTTACCATCTGGCTTCTTGTGTTTATTTCTACGTGGAATCCAACGACGATGAAATCGAAAAGGTGTTTTGCCCTCGGAGTTGATCGCCATAATTAAATTACAGAGGAAAAAGACGAGCAGGAAAACGCAGAGAGGCCTGGACGACTGCATGACAAAATTTCTGAAGGAAAATAAACGTTAGGATCATTAGAATTGCCATCATTATTCGTCACCGTCATCTTTTATTCGTCTCAATTTATATTCATCCAGCGACTTCCAATAAAACTTTAAAAACAGGCCTAATGCGAATTCCAAATTGAAATGAAATGAAATGTTATTGATCAGCACGATCACTTAACTTATCAAGAATAAAGTACAAACGATTTGTTATTAATATGATAGCTCTCCGTTAGGAAGATTTCTACCGCTGAGTATTCTTTGCGGTCGGCTCTCACCGTTCACGATTCATAACTTTGTTGTAGTATTTTTCTTCGTTTAATGTTTGTTTCGTTGTCACTGATTGTATGCATCATTATTGTCAACATGGATTCGTGATGGGTAAAATTATCCGGCATACGCTCAATTCCCAAACGTTAGAAAATCAACTAAGACTGAGAATGTGTTTTATTTGAACATGCAGCGGTTGAAATTAAATTGAAAGCAGCAGGAGTCACGCAATAATACGATTTAAAAAACATGAAGGATAAAACGAGTGAATTATAACCTATCATTTCAGACGTTCCCTCGACTTAATACCTGAAAATACTTTTAGTTGCCTCACTCAGTTTTATGATAAAGTAAATGGCAGCTGCTAATCTTAATTTCCAACAATTTTGCTATAAAATGACTTGTTATATTTTCTCTCTTGAGTTTGTAATCGACTTTTGCATATGTGCTTCCATTTTGATGTAAAATCGCAAAAGCAGACTCCTTTCGCCAGATGAACTGCTATTGGTCCCTACTATCATATGGAAGAGCTACTTTAATAACGACATCCGTTTGAGGTGGTGTTAGGTGGCAGTTTGTTTTATGGACTGGAAAGCCAAGATAAGATGTCTAGGCCCTCTAGCGACTTGCCAATTGCTTCAGTTTTACTAAAGAGTTTTTTTTTCACTTTGCAGACTGGTTTACAGATTGCATTGAACAATAAATTTTGATTTACGCTATCAAAACGTCCCTTTTAGAGGTTTCTTTTATTAATTGTACATGTATCTTCCGATGCTGAGCGGTTTGCAACAACGTAGTTGTAAAACTGAAAAAAAAAAAAAAAAGACTGCAAATGGCGAGCCGTAAGGCGAGTAATTTGCATGTTTTTCTCTTGTTCTCTCAACATTCCGTGTGGGATAAGAACGCTACAGTGCCCGGAGGGAAAATGTGATCCATTGCTCCTTGTACTTTTCAGATAAACGATTTTTACTGAGGAAATTAATCCATCTTTATAAATTCAGTTGTCATAATAGCCAAGGTAAAGGGGATATTTAGAGGACAATAAGATTTGAAGACGAACCATCATTTCCGTTAAGAATTTCGTGAGGGGCCTGTTGAGTTTACTTTTACTAACTGCGCCAGATCATCCCTTCGGCACACCATGCGGAGAGATGCCTGGAGTCCAAAGTAGAAACGCGAATGATTTGCCGTCAGGGTTCCTGGTTTCAGAAAACGCAACATTTTCGGCGAATCGAAGTTCTTGTTTCTTCTAGGGAAACTTGGAAATACACAGTTTTGAAACGTGTCTGGAAATATTGTTCTTCGCATTGAATGTTTTTCCTTATCACATTCTCGTCGGCAATTTCAGTTGGGTAAGCTTTTTATCCTGTACAATTCATGGTCAACGAAAAGTCACCTTTCGTATATCTTCTCGTTCAGAGCTCATTATATTGCTGACTCATAGCAATTACTTTAAAAGACGCCTCAGTATAGAAAGTAACGAGTCCTCAAGATATCTTTTGAAACCTTTCAGGCAGTGTTTCCTGACCGAGAGCAATGTAGAATACGTCTACAGCCCTGATAGCCCGGATTTCAATAAGGTTAAATTTCTATTAGAATCTTTTCCAAGTAATATCTTTACTGAAAAGTTTTGCCCTAAGTTAAGATAATCTTACGACTGGAGACCGAAAAGAGTATGGTGGGTTTAAACGTTGGGTAGGCAATTCGAACATACAACAGCATTAAACTAAAATTTTACCGCAAGAAAATCCCTTCCTCGACCAGCTTTAACAAACGATGATATATAAATAATTAGAAAAAATTGTAAAGTTACTAGGAATGCATTTCAAATACAATAGAATGCAGTAAAATTTGAGATATTTTGCTCCGCCTGTATTCAAAAGTGTCCAAAACTATTAGAAAGCTGACCGAAAGGAAAAAGAAGAATGTTAGCATTCTGATTTAACGCTCGGACGATCTTCTTTCAAGAGACTCATATTTAGAGAGGCGAGTCAAACAACTTACCTTTTTGTGTCTTTTAAAACCGCTAATACGTCCTATCTACAACAATCGACTTCCCTCGCCAAAACCCAATTATCTTCTTTGGGTAACGTCTATTTATTCACAATGGATGCCCACGTTTTTCACACTGACTGCAAATAAAAAATACATTCACCAATTTTTGGCTATTTCCGGCATTCATTTCGTGAACTGAACATGAAAGAGCGAAATTGAGGAAAACGTTTCGACATTCCAAGTAAAAAAAAACATAATGTTAAATACCAGCCAAAGAAATGTTTTAAGTCCAATTAAATTAGCCATTAGGTTTATTGCTCTCCTAGGAGAATGTTTTGACAACTTTCGCAGCTGTTTCAATTGAGAAAGGATAGAGTTCTTTGTTCCGTGCGAGATACAGACCTAAAACAAACTACTTTGTCTCATTCAACAACGAATGGTGACTTTTAAATACAATCAAATACAATATGAACAGATTTTCAAATAAGGTGTCTGTTTGATTTGTAAGCTTTCTTTCGGAAAGCAGCTATTTTAAACTCGTTTTGTTATGTTTTGTTCTGTTTTGTTTCGCCTCTAAAAATAAACGGTTTAACTTACAAATTAATTAGTTGTGTCCAAAGTGCATCCCTGTGGGCAAAACAGCTGATATCTTCCTATTTGTCTCATTTTAAAAACCACGCACACGCTTCAAATTCAGGTCCGGAAGTCTCGAATGCAACAGCTCATTGCACGATATATCGTGTTATCTTTCAGACGGAATATTACAAAGCAACAGTTTAGGCCGGATGACTTAGGCCATACCTTTTTTTGGCAACTCATGGAAAAAAGTGCGATGACTATATGCGCTTTAGTCACGCAATGAATCGATATTTTTGGTTCGACTTTTGTGTTCCAGCCGTGCAACATCAGGATTAGAATTTAACGTAACAGATCGGTTAGTTCTGTGTGTCTGACGGGAGAGAATTTTGCAGTACGAGATCTCTCAATTATGATCTTTTGAAGTAATATTTACAATATTCTGTTCAACCTATTGAAAAGAGACAAAGTCGAATATGTATATTCGAGCGATTTCGAATAGAAAGAATAAAAAATAACGTTTGATTCGCAGTCAGAAATTTTTACCTAATTGAAGATGTAAATTTTTGCGGTGTTTAACCTGGGGACTTTTTTTTTTTCTGCGGGAATCCTTTTTTTAGGACCGAGGACAATTTGCAAAATCCGCAGAACAAACATCCCCAAAATTTTCACCCTACAAGGTATTAATGGATCCTTCCCTGGCCCATTTTCGTTCCGAACCCTCTAGAATTGTCACCTACTGAAGCTTTTCAGGGCAGATTAACCCCACAGAGTTTAATGACTCTTTTTGATGCAGTGGTGTTTGAATTCTTCTTCATTTAGCCCCCACGTAACAAAGAAACACTATCTGTCGTCTCTCTGGGGCTCTATTTTTAAGAGTCTGCAACCAAAACCGTGGGTCAGTTAATGTAGTTTGAGCTAAACGTCCACTGATTTGTTCGTGATCACGACAAACTGAATGATGCATGCTGATGAAATCCAATTAATTGCGTACTTCCCAAGAATGAGAAGATTCTGTTTGAAAAACAGAGTATTTGCCAAACACATAACTATAACATAGATAAGGGTATTTTATCACGAAACCCGCGTATCTCCACTAAAACGGGACCGAAGCTCTGCGTGCCGTCGCGCTAGTTTGCTGACGAGATTATTTATCTCAATGAACACTTGAATACTTAGATTTAAAGAAGTTGTCCAATTCTTCTTCATTCGTACTCATTCGTCGTCCTTTTAATTCACCGATTCGTACCTCACTGTTTTTGTTCTTTTTCTCGCCTTTGACTCACTCATACTTTTTATTCCTCTAAGTGGTATAATTTCAACCAGCCATAACCGAACAAATCATATCATTTTATGGCGAGCTATGGCCCAAACAGTTGCAAGGCTTAAGAAATCGCGGAAATAACAGAACCGGATTTACGCTTCTCGAAAAAAGTGAATTGTCGTTAAGAAGAAATGTATCGTGTGACTTGACAATTTTGCAGGAGGTGTATCGCAAGGGTTGACGATTTCTTGTGTATCGATATCTGTTTTGTTTTTGTTTTAATTTTCGAAGGAACAATATTTTTCATTTTGAGAAGATTAAAAGACTAAAACTTGTGCTGAGAACAAATCTTATCGATTATCTCTTCAAGCAGAAAGAAACATATAAATTGTCAGCTCTCTTATTTGTCGAGTCATACTCGGAGAATGATTCGTAGATCGCTATTTCATTGAGTCCAAATATGCGAATTGACACTTGATCCATGTGCTGTTGTTGTTGTAAGTTGTTAATTTTTCGTTTTTCATTTTCTTTTCTTTCCTCTTCCCATTCGACTCAAAGTGGTGCCTTTTGTGGCGTTTTAGTTTACGGGAGATTATTCTATGGGAACTCATTTTTGCAGATCGAGGACTATGCGTGTAAGTAAGCTGTAATATTGAATTCATATTTCCATGAGATCGCGTGAGAGCCACCGTTCGTGTGTGCGTCTGAAGCCTCGAAGCAACAACCCCCCGCTGACACTAAGTTACAATTTTATCACAAATAGGGGCCATCGTGATAAAACAATTTTGATGAGTAAGAGCCTTTCTTGTAGGAGGAATATAATTTATTTATTTCTTGTATAAGCAATTTCCTTTCAATGCGAAAAATCTAAATCAGTCGTAGAGGCCAAGAGCAAAAACTCGCAAAATACTCGGTGTAAGACGTCAACTCTTAAAGGCCATAGTTGACATTACAGTGGGGTTAAAGGTGCTCCACAGGACAAAATTTTGTGTCTTAAAAGAGTAATTAATAATGAAATCATTTTAAATCGATGTTATTAGTATCAATCTTCAAACATGTTAGTTCAGGTGTTTAGCAGTTTTTCCATCTTATTGAACCAATATTTTGGGATTTCCCCGAAATGGATCCTATGCGGCGTGGAAAGCACGCTTACAAATTTTTCAAAGTATAAGCCTTATCAAGTTGAAGACTACGTTATATAAATCTGTTTTATTGCCCTTTTTATAACATGAGACCTCACAGGGGCCTGAGAAGCGGTATTTTAGAGGACCCAAAAAATAAAAATACCCAAATGAAATTTATTTTGTTTGTGCCTTCCTCGAGATGTGCGTTACGGTGATAAGTGATGAAATGAGAACGTAAGCCTGGAACTAAGATTTTAAACCAGATTTCATTGAAGGGAAGAGTAATCTTGTCCACCCTTGGCCCTTAACATTTCGCTTCATTGTTCTTTGGGTTATTCTTGTGATCTAGACAGTTTTTTTTAGCTTAATTGATCTATATTTTGCATCTCCTTTAATCCTTTTATCCATAAGATCCAGCTATAAATTTTCGCTCTGTCTGGCATGCTTTTCGTGTCAAACTGGCTCTAAGCACTTTCAGTCAAAAACATCCTTGGTTGACGATTCTCATTTCTCCCATCGACTTTCGTTTTAAAAATGTATCGGTATTGTAAGGTTACTTATGAGTGAATAGATCTAAGAAGTAATGCTCAACTGGCATTAAATGAATACTCATCAAAATCTACAAATCTAAATGGTAGCTGACAAAGGCTTCCCCATGGATACAATGGGCAAGAAAAGAGTTTGAACCGCCTTGCACAGTATGATAAACAGTAGCGTATGTAAATAAATCCGCTCACATTTAAGTGGTTACTAATTGGCGGTTTATCCGAAGACCCAAGAAGCAGCCGAATCACACTTACTGCAGTACTACATGAAAGTACAGTTCAGTCCCATATTAGCATTTCATACAAAGACCTAAAACCAGAATCACATTGAACAACGAGTCTTGATGAACTTTTTGTTTATTTATTTGTTTACACCTGCAGCTGGAGTTTGGCAGAGATATGGAGATTAGGACCAGCTGAGACAGATAAAAATCATATAAAAAAACTGGGAGCTACGCTTCCCACACTTGCGATAAGGGCCTGCATGCCAAGCTAGCTATATATATCTTATTAACCAAGCGCGAGGGCCGTACTGGGAGAATATCGGCCCGAGGTCTTGACAGTACGGACCGAGCGCAGTGAGGTCCGTACAAAAAGACCGAGGGCCGATATTCTTTCAGTAAAGGTTAATAAGAGATTTATTGTACGACTGAAGTTCAAAGGGACACAAGTGCGGTATCATTCGGGACCATTCGGGACAGTGCCCGGTCCAATACTGAGAGAATATTGACCGGCAATAGGGCATTTTGATTGGTTGATTTTAGTTATTGGCCCTCTGAATACCCGAGTCGTGTAATAAAATCTCCTTATTGGCCAGAATATAATAATGTGTAACCATTTGCAGATAAAGTTGCAATGCCTATGTGGCATGTTTTCCTCAGTCATTCTAAGATCATGAGTGTGAGTCAGGTGTGGGGCCCAATCCCTCGAACTACTGTGCGGGCGTAAACACCGCATAGTTCAAAGTTTTAACAGCTTCTCCGATAAGAACTTGCCGCGTCAGATAATTTTTTTAGCAGCAAAATTATTTATTAAACCGAAATTGGTGAAATCATTTATGTCTAATTTTTGTATTTACAAAGAAAAAACACAAATAAGGAACCACCAAAGCTAAATCCTCATTTCCAATTTTTTCAACCTTACTATGGGAATATCATAGGGATTCCTTTAAGCGGCATAGAGAACCAACTAGCGGGGTGATTTTTCGCGATTGCAAGTGATGATTTAACAGCGGGGGTTCTTCATCTAGACATTAATCTACACAATAATTTGGATATATCAACAAAGTTGAAATGGTAAATTGGCCATCGTAACGATTACAAAAGCTGACGTTTCGAACGCTAGCCCTTCGTCATTCGCTCCGACGAAGGGCTAACGTTCGAAACGTCAGCTTTTGTAATCGTTACGGTGGCCAATTTACCATTTCAACTTTGTTGATATATCCAAATTATTTCGTTACCCTCACCGACGCAGCTCCAAACAGTTTCTTTCGAAACTATCAGCCTTTATTCATTAATCTACACATCATCGCGAACGTAAAACTTTAGAATTTCACTAAAAATTCTCATGTGTTTAAACATCTTGTTTGATTTAATATTTAAATCTATTTGAGCTTTTTCTTGCACATACTATTTTCTAAGCTATCAAACAGACTTTTTATGCGGCATGACATTCCATTTCGTTCTTTCTTAATTTAAGTTACTGCACGTAAATCCCAAACAATTTGTCTTTGAGTCGCCGAAACTGAGAGGCTTTTTTTTTTTTGTGCTACACACAATTAAATTAGATTCAATTTATTTTAATGTATTAGCTTCTACAATTTACCACTTTAGGCTAAATAGTACCAGTAATTCCTAAGAAATCTTCAAACTTTGCCTTGTAAAGTATGGAACACAAGGTCAAGTGTTTGCGTGGACAATTTTCATAAGTTTCGTTCCTGAAATATGTCGAGTTTTTTTCTTGACGCAGAACACATATTATCAAAAAACTCAAACGATATAAACCTGATATGTGTTTCAGCTTGTGTTTTTTTCTTCCAGGAATTTTCCCATTAAGCTTGCTTTAAAAATCAGATGATATATTTTTGATTTCGTTTTTATTAACTCAAAAATCAATAACTAGGAGATGTTAAAGCAGTACCTTATGTTATTTAACTTACCCATCAAAGCATTGCGTGATGTTCAAATGAAAATAACACATACGTACGCAGAAATCAATTTAATTCAATTTTTGTTACTTACGTGTAGAAATGAAAAAATATGACGCACTTTAATCAGTAAATCCTCTTCAGTATGAGGAAGGGAGTTTTTAAACTCAAACATGGAATTTCGCAATATAGGATGGAGAAGCGTTGTACACGTTTGCTTATAAATTATCTAAAAAGTTTTAAAGCCGAGACATAAAGGGGATAATCAATAGCAAAATTGACCTTATAGGATTAAAAAATTTTTAACGTGAAGGTGAAAATTTATTGGGACTAGACATAGTCGAGGTGATATTGTACTTCTTAGAAATGTTTATATTTTTCGAATTACTAAAAAGTTTAGTTACGCTAACCCTCACATTGTATCTAAAGTTGTTTTGTCGACTAATGTGCCGAAAAAGTTAAACAAAAGGTAAATTAAAATGATGAAATGGTAGCGGACGTGAAAATAATAGCTTTTCGTCTTTAAACAAAAATTGTACAAAGATTGCTGAGTGATCTTATCTCTGGCTACGCCCAGTGCAAAAAGAGAAAAGTTTCTTCAGTGGCGGACACGTTTGATAGTGGGATTTTTAAAGTTTTGCTCACTCATAGCTAAGTATTTTTAAATAGCTTAAACTGTCCTTCTTTTCAAACAGCAATATTTTTCACATAAGTAAATGACCTGAAGTTTATTATGTACATCAGGCTGTAAAGTGTCTCGCAATTATAGTGATTGCCTCTTAAGCTAAAAACCTAGAAAGGAAGCTCGAAAGAAATGAGGGTAGCAACCCTTTGCTGATAAACAACGTACTAGAAAGACATGGTTTTGCCCTGCACAGTGGATTCAAGAGATGTATTCATAAGGTACTGCTTTATCTGTAAGCATATCCCTGAGAATTTCTTACAAATATTTTCTGATGTAACTGAGAGATCTGCTCATTGTTTGTGACCATTTTTACGAGGCACAAAACTCTTAAAATTTGCCTGGAATCGTGAATTAGAATGCCACAATAATTTTTGTTAGTCTGCCACTCGATTTATGTTTTCTTCTGAGAACTGCATTTCACAAGAAGTAATCAACAAGCTGGATGTATTTTATTCACCTAAAGCGCATTGGTCACTATTTATCAAGATTTTGAAAATAATAAAAAATGTGCGAGACATCACGAAAACAATTAGTTGTATGTGTAATATGGTAAAGGCATTTTAAAGGTGACGAAGGTAACTTTTGACGGTATTATATCGGCACATAAATTTCGGAAGCAATTTCTTAAATTTTTTTCTCGGATTGCTTGAAGGATAACTTTCGATAAGTTGATTCATATGTATGTCATTATACAACATGAATATATTTCTTGGTTGAGTTTTATAGATATTTTTTGATTATGTTTTTAAAACATTTGCACGCGTAACAATTCTTTCTCAGCACACAGTTTCTATTTATATTAATTGGTAAGCCAGTTTTCGAACGGATTTTTTAATCGATGAAGTATAATCAAAGATGTTCATAACATCATGGATTACGCCAAATTATAAATCACTTTCCGAAAAGGTTCACAGAGTTAGCGTACACACTATCTTCAAAATATCGCGAAAAAAGTTAGTCCTTACTTGAAAAGTGTTAAGGACAGCAATTTCTTCTCGAGATAACCTTTTAGATGTGGGTTTTCTGGCTTGAATAAGACTAACTTCAAATGAAATCAATTATTTTATTGACTAACACAAGTATTTCAAACAGCATAGTAACAAAGTGGAATTTTCTCGAAATCGCGAGGAATCTGAAATGCTTAACATATTTACTAGTCGCAACTGCTACATGTAATTCAATTCATGGAAAACGTTGCATGCGGTCGACTGTATTTGTGTACGCCTCGTTTCAATTTTAGATGACTCAGTCCCTGAGCTCCTACTTCTGTGTTCCATATAAGGGTTGAAAACGGAGGGAGGGGTCAGTAAAATCATTCTACAAGTCGACGTGTACACCATCCTCATCATTATTTCCATCCAATGAAGTGGGGAGAAGTTTGCAATTTATCCAGAACGTATCATATAACAAACAGCTTACTATATTGTTTATCCTTCTTTCTATACATCTTCTTCTCTTTCTTTGCATACTACAGGTTATTTTTTTATCATTTGATTCTGCATCAGAAATCATGATGAAAAATATAGCTTTCTTTGCACATACCTTGGTACATTGTACTCAGGATACGAATTCAAATCGATGAATGGGAAAGAATAATCCACTTGTAATAAAGGGTTTATTTCGAAGGACAACCCACTGCGCGATAGGTAAGTTCGTAAAGACAGCAAATCCCCAAGGGTAAATTATCAGATAAAATTCACGATCCAATCCCACAAACCTTCGGAATACATACGTCTTCACAGTCGTCGTATTTGTAGGTTCTACCAGCACGCGAGAGGTTCATTGCTCAGTTCCGAGAAATTTTAGCAAAGTATATCATCAAATTATTATTATTTTAGGAAAAAGAATTAAACATCTTACGTTAAGCGGGCAGAGCTGTTATCTTGCCAGATTCGATCACATAAAATTTAAACTAGAAAAGGGATTAAGAGAAGCTATTCAGTAAAAAATTTCGCCAGGTTTTAGTAGATGTCTAAGAATACTCTGACATCCTGCTAAGCGCTAAATTTTATCACAAAAGCCAGGGCCTTATCATTACAATAAAAATTTTATAACCTACGTCAAAACGTTCGGGTAAATATCCTGTAATTGGACGTTTCTTTGTGTCTGGCGAATACATGTTATTTCATGAAGACATAGAGTGGTCTAGATCTTGGTAAATGCAACGAACTCCGTTTCCTTTTGCTAAAACTTTATCTCGCTTGAGCACGGCTCATGACATAAACGATATTCTACCCCCACGAAGGTAAGTAATAATCATATTAACTTACTCGGTTACGTGTTGGACAACTGTGTGAATGTAAAACACTCTGTTGGCAGCATCAACAACTGTGAACAACATACTTAGCCATTCAACAGCACTCTGCGACAAAATATTCTCGTACTCGAAATGTATCATCGATGGTAGTTTAATCGTCTGTAAGGGAAACTTTTAAGTTAAACGAAATGTATATAAAAGGATTTGAGAAGAGTTTTGATAAGAGCGTATTGGGAAACAATAAAGCACAGCAGCGTGGAAATTGCCAGTTTTATCATGTTTTGACCTCTTCAACTGCAATTTGAAATTATCCCTGTTATTCTAATTTATGTTTTCGCTCTGCATGCATGGATCTCTTTCTGTTTCTAGATTAACAACAGTGGTTTAACGGTCAGTTAGAAACTTAATCAAATTCTTAAGGCTTAAGAAAAGTGTCGTAGTGTTAAGAAGTGCACTATTAAAGGAAAAACAAAACTAAACTAAACTAAAAACGACATCATTGTCAAAGAAATTTTGAATATTGCAAAAGTGCGCTGGAAAAAATTCTTTTACTCAAACGCTGACATCTAATTTTCATGTATCAAGTCTTTTCTTTTTATTTTCTAATTATTTTGAATCTACAAAAGTGAGTTTAAATTCTGTTCAAACTGTTACTGGCGTTTTTATTCAACTGCTTACCTTTCAATCATCTTCCTTTCCGTTTGATATTCAGTTTTAATGTCTTAGAGATGGAGAAGCACAGAACCATGCCAAATTCAGCACTGTTTCACGTCTTCTGTCTTCATTATATTACAGTTGTACACTTATATACTTTTAAAAGTTGCATGAAGTAAAACTATCGTAATAGTTTAAAACATTTTCTTTCCAGAAATACACTTTTTTTATGAGAGACTTAAATGACTGATTAAACATTTTGCATGGTAGAAATTTTCCAATGTGCATTGCGTAATAGCTGCTAATAACTGATCTGTTGATTAGTTTATTCAGTCAATCTGTATTTTGTAGGATCACCCAGAAAAGGTTTGTAACTTTCAGTCTCATCAGTGTAAAAAATACGTAACTGAATGTATGCTGGTTTTTCAGTGAGTTATATATGGAAAAGTCTGTACGTGTACTATTTTCGGTTGTAGTCTCATAGTTTTCTTGAGAAAAAAAAGCAATCACTCTCGTAAATCACTGAATTTTCCAAGAATGGGATGTGACAATAATACTTTAGAGACAACGGAGACCTACGAAGATTGCAGGTGATGATTCGTGTAATGTTTCAAGACGCACCAATAATCCTCTTTAATAAATCAGTTAAATAATACAATTTCCTTTCTATAAATTAATATAATGAATTTAAAACATTTACAAAACTATATTTTTATCGACTCCATTTAACATCTCTAGTCTTCGTAAAAATCAAGGTTCATGTGGGTAACGCATATCACCTGTAAAAAATTGAAAAAAATATTATAGTTAGTAGAGAAGCGACTGGACAAGTTAACATTACCCACACGTGCGTCGTAAAGTGGCATTTTCAATTGACTGCTAAGAGAAATCCTAAACTGCAGTGGTCTGTTTCCCTGCTCTCTGTGATTGGTCCAGAAAATAAGTGCCAACTTCTCGACCAATCAGATGCAAAACTGAGGCGTGAGTAGTCCAGTGTTCAGTGCGCTGGACTCTTGGTCAGATGGCCCGGGTTCAAGTCCTGGCTCGGGCTTCACGTTGTGTCCTTTAAGCAAGACGTTTCACTCACATTGCTTCGTCTTCTCAGATAGGACGTAGAGCCGGAGGTCCCATCTCCTGCATCTATCAATTAGTTAATTTCGGCAGGGGACGTTAAAGTACCCACAGCACGAGATTACTGTGATGTGGTCTGGCCTGGTTACTGGGAATGGGGGGAGGGGGCATCTGAAAAAAATTTCTTCTTTATATATTGTAAACTGCCGCCGGCAGTCTAGAAAAGTCCCCCGCACAGTGTTGTAAAGCGCATTAAAGCATTTACATGGAAATGCGCTATAGAAATTGATCTATATTATTATTTTTATTATTAAAACTAAGATCAATGTAGACTGGTTTTCCAGAGTTTTCCATGTGATTTTTATCTGTGCTGTGCTGTTTGAAAGTTTATTTCGTTAAGACAGCACGAAGCTCAATGTAAAGGCTTTTTTTTCCACTAAGTTTGTGAAAAATGAATGAAACCTCTTTGCTTAACTATCTAACTAACACAGAGGATAAACATGTAACCTCTCAATACGTTATCCAGCAAGCAGGATTTTGATATAAATTTTAATAACGAATTGAGTCACATCTTGAAAACTGAAGATTTAAATTGAAGCTTTTTAAAATTGTGATCCTATTAGTTAGAGAAAAACGATGCATCTTACCACTTCCGAACATTTCCTCGTAGAATTTTCCAACCTGTTCTTCATTATCAAAATCTTGTGTTTCTATTGTGTCATCATCATTTTGTGCTGGCTTTTGTGAATTCATGTTCACCTGGCCATTTTTATTCCATGCAGACTTCGTCGGTCGATGTGTGATCAAACGCCTTCGGTGCCACGTGAACCTTCTACGTCGTTGATTCGCTTCACAACCAGTTCTGCTGCTAAGGTCAGCTATCGTGAGGAAAGTTATTATTGCTAAAATAGAGAGTAGCTGTCGGTTCATCTCAGGTGTTGTTGTAAACGTTTACTCAGTTTAGATTGTGGAGCGCAATTTATTGATTTAGCCAACACAGAGTCGCTAGAAAGGAAAACAATAATGATAACGATGATGATGATAATCAAATGCAGAGATGTTAAGCAGAATGAGAGGCATGTCCATGAAAAGTTAAGTTTAAACGATTACTAAATAAATTATAGTTGAGCCATCTACAAAGCTGATATTGGGATAAGAACTGATGACGTAACAGCCCTCAGATAATGAAAAATACTGTTACATTTTGTTCCTTACAAGGTTCAATTATACAAGCAAAACTTTTTGCGAGGAGGTCACGAAATAATCAGCGTATAAATATATACAATAAAATTGAAAGTCTGAAATATCCAACAGAAATTAATCTTATTTCAAAGTTTTTGTCGAAACAGTCTGTACTACAGGTTTGGTTATCAAGATAGTTCCACAAAGTTAGTGAATTGAAGAAAATGTAAAAACGAAGAATATCCGTGTGTATATTTCAGAGAAACCGGTTAAAACTGCTAATCAAAAAAAATTGGGGCTAAAAGAGGGGACATGGATGGGACATGATATAAGATCAGGCGAAGACAAACTTGCAGCTGCATAAACTTGGAAAATTTTCAGCCTGACTTTTTTCGCGTTCTTCCCACCCTTTTATTTTCCTGCTTACTCTGATGGAGAACAAGACAGATCCCACATGTGATGTCTACGTGAAGATCATTTACGACGCAACAATCGCTATTTTTAGATTACTCTTTGAGGATGAAGTTTTGAGGAGGAAAGAATATGCACTCTAACCTACCTCTCAGCTGATTAATTTGAAAACCTAAGTATTCTCGCAATCATATGTATAAATATAGGATCAATGGATATGATATGAATGCCCCAGCGTAATGATACAAATTTCATCCGTGACTCTGCTTCGATTCCCGATAGTATCTGTTAGATAATTACAGTGCGAGGAGATAAAAGAAGTGTCAGGTGGTATTCTGAAACTCTCGGAATATGTTACATGTAGATCGTGCGCTGCAGGATATATACGCAGACAACAGAATAAAAATATACCGCATGGAATGTTTGCGTTGGCGAAATTCGCATCACAGGACTGGTTATTTTCGAGTCTTCCGTGATCTTCGTGAGCACAGATGAACTAAAAACAACCCCATGATAAGGCCTCATGGTTGATTAATTCTCTGAACTTTCAAAATTTTCTCTCGATTCTAACTGACCTTAAGTACGAGAAGCTCAGAAATAAGCGGAGAAGGAGCATATTTTTAGTACACAAAATGCCCAAGAAACTCTTTCCAAAAATTTATGATTTTGTGAAAGGAAAGTTAACGGGTAGTTTCAATGTTCATCCTGTGGCAAATGTATTTCGTCTACTTGTTTGAATTTTCTTGTGATGAAGCCGTTGGAATTAGCATGCAAATGATCAAATCATTTCATTTTTCAAACTAACACTAGCTGTTCAGTTTTAACTCCTACGTAGATCATTTCAAAATGAAATCATGCAGGGGCTAATTCGACAAAACCGGATTTAAAGCTCAATAAACGGGCTTTCTTATCCTTTAATTTCTCATAAACTATTTTGTTCATTGTCTTTAGCAAACTCTAATCCACTCTATTCAAGCGTACAGTTACTCATGCAAGAAACTAAATCAATTAATTAATTTTACAAGTTAGTAAACCAGCAAACCTAACAGGATGCTATTGATACGATCCATCCTGTGTTTTGTACCACCATTTCCTACATAGCGCGACTAAATATGAATGTGGAGATCACGAAATCCAATATAACAGTATTTTCTTTTGTTAATATTGAGTAACTTGTAACACAAAGAACTCATGATAATTTTTTAATTCATTGAAACCCTATTTTTCAAATAAGAAAGTGTGGATAAAAAACATTCCAACTTTATGTTAGTGGAATATGGTGAGCAAAGTGAAATCAACTCGTATAACACAAGCAGTCCAGCCTTCTTATAGCATAAGATATTTGTTCGTTTTTTTAAGCAATGTGCTACTTACATGATAGGGTTTTTCTGAGCGTAAATCTCGTGAAAAATTTACAGAAATAAATCTATCTTACAAACAGTCTTTTGTATTGATTGCAAACCTTAAACTAATAGTCTTCTTGCTTGATCCAAAGTGATAATCGAAACTGAATTTGACGAACATTTTTCTTCAAGGCACAGCTTTAGCATAACATGTATCACAACACTATAAGAAAATAGAGACAAAAATAAAATTCAGTTACCTTGGGTTTTTTAAGGTAAAATTTACTTGATTGACCCGTTGATAACTCCGATCTGGCCTTACCGGATCAGTGTTTGTTTTTCAGTGACTTGAAGTGATAACCGTCAGAAATTTATAAAGACCCCGGCCCAGCCCCCACATAGGATGTGGAAGTGACGTGGAATCCGCTATCAGTTTCGTACAATTCAACATAGTTTTTCCGTTGTTTCAGCCCAGTACTGTTTTGTGGATTTAACGCCTGTTGGTGGCGCGTCTAAGGAAGCCATTGCATTGTCTTTTATTGGCACGCGCACGTGGCCGCGCGAAGCTGCATGCTTTTAAAAAAAAGAGAGAAACAGCACACGAACAATATTTTGATTATTTAGCCTGGTAAGACTCACCACCTGTCTGTTGGCGAAGCGAATAAATCAAACTCTTTAATCGCAGTTATAGAGTCTCAAATTATGAAGGAACATGGTCGAAAAATCAATATAGCCTGAAGAAATGTTTTAGATAAACTCTTTGACGACGATGCCTATTTTTCTTATTTAAAAATGTATCAATAAATTTTTGTATCTTTTTATATCTAAAGATAAATGAACAAGTTAACTTCAGTTTATGCACTTAAGTCGCGGAAGAAGTGCACAGTTAAGCGCTTTAAGAACCCACTATCGCGATAAAAATTAAATTGAATAACTTAATTGTTAAACCACTCAGTTAACGTGTTGAATGCAGTATAGCTTCCTCGAGTCGCCTGCTGGACACAAACCCCCGCTTACAGAGACTTTCGTAATTGAACAGAATTACTGAAAAGGGGATCTCACAGTGAAAAAAACAGGTTTACACGCGATTAAAACACACTTTGAACACTGCACACAAATCCATTTGTGAGAGTTGTAAGTTAATGTCTTAATCTGATAACAAGTTTGTTTTTAAGTTATCTTTGATCCAAATGATCATGAGAAATATATTATATTTATTTAAGAAAACTTCTCATGATCAAGCAAGGCCAAATGCAGCAATTTTGTTATGAAAATTTTATATTCAAGTCCAAGTCATTATATTCAAACAACGTATATTTTTGGGGGAGCGATGTGTGAATCGAACATGTCAGGGAGGACCTGCAGAGAGAGAAGGCCATTTGATATCTATACTGAAACTTTTTACGGAGACTTCATTTTAAAACATGATGGTCTCCTTTTTCTCCTTTGGTGTACGATAATGACGACACTCGAGCATTTAAAAACATAAGAGATATTTCATTCAGGAAGGCTGCCACGTGCATGTTTTTGTCTTACTTCATTTCCGCAACCGCAACTGAAAGGCTCGTGATAAGTTATTAGTTAACACGCACATTGCAGAAGTTTGTCAGAAATATATAAAAGTGCAAGAAGTAAGCTTCTGAAACCTTGAAAACAAGATGCATAATTAGTTTACCGCCTTACAAATTAAAAACCAGTTTGGTTTGGAAAGTTACAGTTAACTTGTGAAATGTCCACGCCAACTTATTTACTCGATGTTTCCGTAACGAAGGGTTTTGTTCATCGTATCCGTTTCAAAGAAAAGTTTGAAAATGGAGATCGAGTACCACATGGACAATGAAACAAGTGATGGACTTAACAGCATGGGTGTCTTAATGTAGACAAAGACTTTGTGTATCAGTTGACCTGGCGGCCCAGCATTTTGTTGATAGAATACTCGTGTTTATAATGGCCTTTAGTGAACGGCCCCCCTACGATCAGCGTTCAGACTCAAACTGGCACATGTCTATCAAATCGTATCACACCAATCCGACTAATATTGGTGAACCTTACTTTTTGAGGTGACTAATGTTTCCGGCTTAGAGGCGCTGATGTGCGCGAAATGGTACAGTTCGTCCTTTTGGAAACTCACCAGTCGATCTTGCGTGGATGTAACACAGGTCCTTAGCAAATTGAGCAAGTTTTTTTTTATGAGTTCAAGCCAGCCGTGGATATATTTATCAAATCATGATGAGTCATTGAGTTTTCCTTTTAAACTGCGACAAAGTTATTTCTTTAATCATACTGCTCCTTTAAATTATTCGCTGATTGTTCTAAGGGGAACTGAACGCTGTTTAACGTTGTCACCAAAGGGTGCCCTCAATTTCTAAAAGATGTATTTGTTCACCGTAGTAATGATGATAAATGAAAGTTCAATCGTTTATGTCACGATTTAGAGTCACTATCAACTTTCAGAGGATGTATTTCTGTTTATCAGTCGCATTTTCAAAGTTTGTGCGTGTTAGAGCTACTCCTATTCTTCCCCAGTCCACCCACTTTCTCTTCTAACTTGTCAACTGCTTCCTGTTAAACTTAAGAGGTGCCAAACGAACGTCATAATCAGCTGATGGGAACACAATTTTTTCTAAGCTTCCTGGGCGAGCCTCCTCCAATGTTCAAAATCGCTTAATAGCCTTATATCGACGCAGAAAAGGATTAGATTACTTGTAACGACGAAATTTAACCTTATTCATTCTCTAAATCAAGATAAAAGATGTCTAAACTTAGTCGCGCATGAAACGAGAAAAACATCAGCTAAAACACCCTTATGACTCTGTTCCAACGCGGAATTTTTGTAAAGTAACCACAAAAAGACATACACGAATTTCCAACGGATACAGAGTGCATCAAACGTTTTCCTAATGATATAAGATTGCACGGCAATCAAGTACCCACGGTAAAAATAGTTCAGCTTGAAAGAAACTACAATTTTAGGAGAACTTTTCTTTTATTAATACAAGTTCGTTTCCATTAAGAAAAATGAACACATTCGTCCAATATGTACTCGGTTAAGACCCGATTGGTCCAATGCATGAAATAACTCTTAAAATCTGATCTGTGAATCTTTGCTCGTGTTGATATACAAATCAATGAGTTGGGAGAGTTTGGTAATGCATCAAGACATCGTGCTTTGGTTAATACGTGTCTAGTTAGTGAAATAAAAAAGCTCTTCAGGCGGCTGGTATGTCGGCTGGTAATGTTCGCGGCTGAGAGATTGTCCATGGTATGAATATTTGGCCAAGAAGCGAGGTTACGAGGGCATATGTAAAATTTTGAAGACAAAGAGCTTTTTCCCTCTTTCCGGTCTCTTGTGGTCCTCACACGTTTTACTTCACAGACATCAAAATTCATTCTGCAGCGTATCGCAGGTGCACGCACGAGTTTAAACGTTCATTTATCAGAACGCTAGAATCACCGTAGCGCACAATACTGCCGAACCACAACATCCTCTCCATGTACGTGCGAGTTTGGTCGTATTGTACGCAGTGCATGCTGCTAAAAAATGGTTCTGCGATCTACACGTAAATGACCTGGTCGAGTTCTGCTAAAATGACTCTTTGAACAATAAAACCTCTAAGAAGAGCGACTCACTGGAAACAATGTAGAAAGTTTCCATGATGTACAATTCCAACAAAAATTATACAGAATTAGGTAACACCTTAGACGCTTTTCATTGAGATAAAGACAATTTCGTAATCCAAGTAAATTTCGGAGTCGTCTGTGAAAAATAAGTCATTGGTCAAACCGCTGCAGTGTAAACTGAAAAAAATGAAAACAGATATATCTGGACTGACTAAGACTAACCTCTTGACTGTGCTGGTAGAATGTTTTTCTTGAAAGCCGTTATATAACTCGTCCAGGATCACCCCCTTCATCAAACAAAACAACCTTGGTCATTCACCGACGGAAAATGTAAATTCGGTCAACTTGACGTGTAGAACAAATGTATTAATGCAGGGGCGGATCTAGGGGAGGGTGCAGGGGGTGCGCACCCCTCCCCCCTGAGATGACCTGCGGCTTTCTAATACAAGTGGTATTCTGCAAAAAAAAAAAAAATTTATGTAGTTTATTGGTGTTGAAGTACTATAGCGTTTGATATGTGTTCTCAGCAGTTCAATATGTTATTGCCCGGGCAAAAGCCTTTTTCGTATTTGCTATTACAATTTGTTTATGTCCGGTCACCAGTCAGTTACGCCATTCTTTGGTGGTGCACCCCCTCCTCAAAAAAATCCTGGATCCGCCCCTGCAATGAAAGACGCGAATCAGCCCAGTAGCATCAGACTGGACAATTATAGATTATAGAGACCTTTCGTATTTCGTGTGACAATCGACGCACTTTCTTTTGTGTTATAGTAGCAATGTTTAAAATCTGAGTTTATTCACACAAATCAAAAGTGTTTTTCTTTCCTATTTTTTTTTTCTTACGTTGGCCAGGAAAACATATTTATGATTTCCTGTAGGAAGGAGAGGTCAAGAGGTGAACCAACGCAAAAAGGTCTGATCCACTTAAACTATGGAGTGAATTAATCAAATTTCACCGTGCACATCGAGCCAACACATATATGATGAAAACTGGCGCAAAGGCTACCTAAGTAGCTACTGATCAAGAAGTGATGAAACAAATTGTGAAACTAGCACATCATTACTTTTTTGTATTTTAATCGTCACGTAAGGGCGAACAACATATTGCCACGAGTCACCTTTCAAAACCGATTCAAAGCGAGCACGTACATGAAATGTGGGTGAGAATTTGATTTCCTTTTCGTGGATCCTTTATTCATGTCACTTACAATTAATTAACCCTTACTTGAGCTCTGCGAAAGTGGTGAGGTGGTGAGGCAAACTCGAAGAAGATGCTACAATATGTGGTGATTCACAAGGATATGGGTGTTTAAAAAAAAAACATGAGAAAAGGAAAGAAAAACCCACTGTGATAGAGGGGTGAGCTAAGGAAATCGTCATATTTGATTTGGTTTAGATTTTCGATAAAACTATATTGACCGTGGGCTTTATCCTCAAACAGAATCAAAATGGAACGCGAATTTCCGAAAATGCTTGCACTCCTCTTGTCCCTTGAGGTAAGGGATAATTTTCTGCATAGGCTAATTCTGCTTGCATAGACCATAAAGGAATAAAGGTATATCCGACCTAAAAGGATGCATAGTTTTTAGATTTTGGTCTGAACACAAGTAGAGAATTTAGCCCTTATCATCTAAAATTGGGTCGAGAGAGTCTGATAAAAATAGTCCTCTTAGCATTTCCAAGAATGAAGAATACAGAAAGAGAGGTAATAACCAATCCAGGTGAAT